CCCTCACAGGTCCTGAGGAGACCCAAAGACACACACCTCTGTCCCTCAAAGGCCTTGCGGCACGTGAACCCCAGGCACACCGTCAGGCCCAACGCAGGCTGCCCCCAAGCACATCCCCTGCAGGAGCAAAGGCTGGGGAGGCAAGCGGGGGGGGAGCTGCCCCACCCACTCCCTCCTGCTTCCTGGCGCAGGGGTTCAAACTATGCAGCCCAAACTGTGCACACGAGCTGGAGGTTCAATCCAAGGGAGCCGGCTCAAGGTCGACACTGCCTTCCGTAAAATGAGTGCCCAGCTCACAGGGGGGGGGATGTATAGCCTGCATGATTGAGTTGTCAAACCGCCCAGAGAGTGCTTGGAGTGCTATGGAGCGGTAGATAAGCAGCATGCTTTGCTTTGCTTTGCTTGAGAGCTTCCCCTGGTGACAGCTGGTTGGCCACGGGGAGACCAAGGAGCTGCTGGAGGCAGGCTATGGCCCAGCTCAGCTTCAGGGATCTTCTGCGGTCCTCCGCCTCACCTGATCCTACCTGCACATCCTCGACATCCCAAAATCCCCACCCACCTGACACACACCTCTTTCTCCCTTCCTTTCCACTTCCCCTTGACATACACAGAAGGAAGGTCCTTTCCGTGTCAGCCAGCCGCCCCCGCCAGCAATGCTTTGCACAGCCCCAGGTACACAGCGGACATGATGGGGGAGACGCGCCGGCCCCTGCCAAAGCTCCCGAACCACCCGGAGGAGCCAGCCTGGGGACCTTCAGCCACACCTGCTGCCGGGGAGAGCCAGGACGAACACCAGGGTCTGTTTCCCCCACACACACACACACCCCTCCGTCCGCTGCACTGCCCCCCCAAGGCTTTCACACCTTCCCCCTTCCCTTCTGCACTGACCGGGTGCAGAGCTGAGGGTCTCAGGGTCGGCACTCTGCCCTTGCATCGAGGTGGCCTTCCAGCAGGTTTCCCCACCCCACCCAAAAGACGCTAAGGCCCCCTGGCTCACCTGGGCTTCTGGGGAGGCTCCTTCGAATCCTGGCGACCAAACCAGCTCCCGCTGCTCCCGGCTTCTGCCACCACCGGCCTCGGGGAGGTCTCGGCCCCTTCGGCCAGGCTGCTTTTCCTGCTGCTGTCTTTGCCGCTCCCCCGGCGGAAGAAGCCAGGCGTGGCCTTCTTCTTCTCGTCCTCCTCCTCCCCCTTGGGGGCTTCCTCGTGGGGCCTCACTCGCACGACCTCCGAGGAGAAGACCACGGGCACAGCGATCTGGACGGGCTTGCTCTCCGTCCGCAGGCTCTCCTCCATTTTGACCCGGCCCCGGTGTTTGTTGAGGGCGATGGTCTTGACCGAGAGCTTGTCTTCTTCCTGAGCCGCCAGGATGGGCGGGGAAGGAATGAACCTGGGGGGGTCGTTGGGAGGGGCCTTTGGGAAACGGCTGCTGCTGCTGCTTGGCCAGGGCGGCAGGTCGGACTCGGCGGGGGGCTGCCCGGCCAGAGGGCGCTCCTCCAGCTTGGGGGCAATGCTCTGGGGAGGAGGGAGAGGGGCCAGAGGTGGGGCCGAAGAGAGGAAGGAAGGCTTCGGGGAGGGCTCCTCGCAGTAGATGTGGCTTCCGTTGATGCAGAGGGAGGACCTGGAGATGGGCTCCTTCAGGGGCTTCAAGCTCTGGGCCGATGGAGACTCTGGCAACACGCTGATCTGGGAGACTTCATCGCTGAAGGCCCTCTTGTGGGTCAGCTTTGGAGAAGGCAGGACATCTCTCCCTGGAAAGGAAGCACAGAAAGAGAGGAGAAGGAAGGAATGGATGAATGAATGAATGAATGAAT